TGGGAAGGACGCATGTCGAGAGATGGCAGAATAAAATTAGACATCTACGACAATTTCTGAGAGGATGGGCCAGAAACAAGAGCGGACTTTATAAGCAAGAAAAAGAACGTCTCACTCAACTTATTGAGGCCCTGGACGTAAAGGCTGAGACCACTCTCCTTTCTGTTAATGAGCATCGAACCAAGTCCGAGGCTGAGCAAGTCCTACGAGCTCTCCTGAGAGAGGAGGAGCTCAAATGGGCGTTGCGTGCGAAAACTCTTAAGGTTGTCCAAGGGGACGACAACACACAGTTCTTCCATATGGTTGCAAATGGTAAACATAGGAAGAAGAAGATCATTCAGCTTGAGCAGGACGAAGGCACCATTGTGGGCCATGACAATCTGAAAGCGTATATTTCCAACTATTATAAAAACCTCTTTGGTCCCCCCCAATACTTCCACGGTATCTCTTGATGAGTCTGTGATCGATGATATACCTCAATTGCAGGCAGCAAAGAACGATGTTCTCTCTGCACCGTTTACTGAAAAGGAAGTGCATCTGGCCATAACCCAAATGAAGCCGAATAAAGCACCGGGACCAGATGGGTTCCCAGCTGAATTCTATAAGAAATGTTGGCATATCATTAAAGATGATCTTATGCCTATGTTTCATGATTTTTTTGATGGCCATTTGGAGTTGTTTCACCTCAACTTTGGTACGATAACGTTGTTACCTAAGAAGAATGAGGCGGTTCGGATCGAACAATTCCGGCCCATTTGCCTGCTGAATGTGAGTTTTAAAATTTTCACAAAGGTAGGGACCAATAGATTGACACAAATTGCTCACTCAGTGGTTCAACCTAATCAAACAGCTTTCATGCCGGGACGACACATACTAGAAGGAGTGGTCGTCTTGCATGAAACACTTCATGAGATTCACTCGAAGAAACTAGACGGGGTTATCTTCAAAGTGGATTTCGAGAAGGCCTATGATAAAGTAAAATGGCCTTTTCTTCAGCAGGCAATGCGTATGAAGGGTTTTAGTGAAACCTGGAGGAAACAAGTGGATACTCAAGTCCAGAAGGGTAGTGTTGGAATTAAGGTGAACGATGACATCGGTCACTACTTCCAGACGCATAAGGGGTTGAGACAAGGGGATTCCATGTCACCTCTTCTGTTCAATATTGTGGCAGATATGTTGGCCGTCATTATTGGCAGGGCTAAGCAGCATGGTCATGTAGAGGGTCTAGTTCCTCATCTAGTGGATGGAGGGGTGTCCATTCTATAATATGTTGATGATACTATTCTTTTTATGGAACATGACTTGGCTAAGGCACGAAACATGAAACTTATTTTATGTCTATTCGAACAATTGTCTGGCTTAAAAATCAATTTTCATAAGAGCGAGGTGTTCTGCTTTGGGAAGGCCAAAGACGAGGAACATACATACAGACAATTGTTTGGATGTGATTTAGGTGCTTTACCATTCAGTTATTTGGGTATTCTGATTCATCACCGTAAGCTGTCCAATAAAGAATGGAAATGTATTGAAGAACGAGTTGAAAAAAAACTCAGCTGCTGGAAGGGCAAGCTGATGTCATATGGCCGTCAGCTAGTTCTGATTAACTCAGTTCTGACCAGCATGCCAATGTTTTTACTTTCATTCTTCGAAATCCCGAAAGGGGTCCGGAAGCGACTTGATTTCTTCAGATCTCGTTTCTTTTGGCAGTCTGATGAGGCCAAGAGGAAATACCGCCTCGCGCGATGGGATATCTTGTGTAGACCAAAAGATCAAGGGGGGCTTGGTATTGAGAACTTGGAAATTAAGAATAAATGCCTTATGAGCAAATGGTTATACAGGTTAGAGACAGAGCCGGAGGGCATGTGGTCTCAAATCTTGCGTAATAAGTATTTGCACACGAAAACGCTTGCCTAGGTTACCATCAGACCCACTGACTCGCCATTCTGGAAGGGAATTATGAGAGCGAAGGACATGTTCTTTCGTAGGGTCAAATTCTTGGTTGGCAACGGGATGTCAACAAGATTTTGGGAGGATACGTGGCTAGGAGAGACACCTCTGGCCTTACAATATCCTACCCTCTATAATATTGTGCAACGAAAGGAGGAGTACGTAGGTATAATCCTTCAAACTATCCCCTTAAATATCCAGTTCAGACGTACCTTAGCAGGTGAGAGATGGACAGCCTGGATGCATTTGGTTCGGAGGTTGATTCAAGTTCGACTCTCCGACATGCCGGACTCAACAAAATGGAAGTTAACTAAAAATGGGATATTTACTGTGAAATCTTTTTATACGGATTTGATTAATTCTGGACCCCTCTCAAGGTCTTTGCATATTTGGGAGGTTAGAGTTCCTTTGCGGATCAAAATCTTTATGTGGTTTGTTCACAAGCAAGTTATTCTCACAAAGGACAACCTTCTTAAGCGGCGATGGGTAGGAAACTCGCGGTGTTGTTTTTGTGCTCAGGATGAGACAATACAACATTTATTTATTGATTGCCCACTTGCCAAGTTACTTTGGAGAACGATTCATATAGCCTTTAATATCAATGCTCCGGTAGATATTGCGTCTATGTTTGGGACGTGGTTAGCTGGGATTGAACAGAACATGGCAGCTCATATTAGGATTGGAATATGCGCGCTATTATGGGCCATATGAAACTGCAGAAATGATATGATTTTTAACAGACGACACAACTTAACTTTTTTGCAGGTTATCTTCAGAGCTACAGCTTGGATCCGTACGTGGTCCTTACTCACTCCTATGGACTCCAGGGAGCCTTCGGTTACTGGGTGCAACCAATGGGAGATGGTGGCTCGGGGTATATTCAACCGGTTCGGATGGCGTTCGCACAATAGGATAGGAGTCTAGAGAGCTTATCCTTATTTTTATCGCTCCGGTTGTCTTTGCCAGCTTGTATTTCTCAGTTTTTGTTTTTTTTGTTTTGCTCCGTTTGCGAGTTGTAAGACAATCACGACGCTACTTTCTGGATTTTTAATAAGAGGGCCGTATGCATCATCATGATGCAGAGGCCGGGGGCATATGCCTCCATTTCCAAAAAAAAATCTATAAGGCTCTACTACAATTGTAAGGGAACATCCATGACATGCATAGCTTATGAAACTGTAACATTACTATAAAGGAATGGAGCTCAATGTTGCAGCCACCACCGGGACCCAATACCGAGGAGCGGGAGACACGGCGGGCAGCATGGCAGATGGCAGGGCAGAGTAACCCTGGCACCTGGCGGCCGACACAGATTACCGGGTGGAGGAAGGGGAGGATAAGTCGAAGGCCGGCGGGAGGGAGGGACTCGACGACGATAGTAATTGTAGGGATTGGCGAAGGGGAGTGGACGATGGATTATAACAGGATGTGTACAACACAACACTGGCGGCCTTCAAGACCATAGGGTCAGACATGAGACGTCTACACAAACGGGTCAGATATAACGGTTGTGCGGTGATTACAGTCGATCCGACTGGATCATCAGGACGACTTATCAATGACGTGTCAAAGTTAGACCAGTTTGTGATAATCATCGAGCCGAAGCCAAAATTTGTTATCCCTGACGAGTGACGAGTGGCCGGTCGGTTATAAAGCTCATCACTGGTGCGTGGTCAATGAACGAGCAGTGTTGTTCGGATCTGTAGTAGTGCAGAAAGAACCACAAATTCCATGAGTAATGACTCCATTCTAGTAAGAAGTCCATATCAAAGATACCATGGGACATAACCTTTGTTATATAATTTACTCAAGTGTTTTGTAAGCAATGCTTGGTTCTGAATCTGGCGCTTAATGATACCCGTACCACCGTTCCCTGTCGGTCTACATACCAGATGGCATACCGACAATGACTTCTTTGGGCTATCAACGTTGCCATGCCAGAGACATTACTGGTCAATTCTCATTATATCATGGGGTCTAGAGACCACAAAGATAGTATATTGGCCTAGATGAAATGGCAGACCTCAAATTTTGCAATATGGCATCTTGTGAGAGAAGAGAAGAGCTAGCTAGCAATCTCCTTTCCATTCTAGCAACCAACGGCACTATGTCCGGGATCTTGGGCCTATAGTGTACCCATGGGTAAACGAAGGTAAGTGAAAGGCATCTTACCCACTTGACACTCAAAACAAACTGGCCAAATGAGAAGCTTCATCATCAATCAAATTGATAAGCACCATGGAGTACGAAAATTCACTTTCAAATGAATGGATTTAGCAAAAGTTTGTAACATTTATTTCAGGGCCGGAAGCTAAGAATCAATATCCGGCATAACCAACAACATATCATCAGCATACTGCGCAATTGGATAGTCCGGATCATGAGGTGGCGTTGGAAAATACAGCTCCCCACGAATATACATGTCGTCGAGAACAGATTGAAGTAAATCTGCTGGCAAGACAAATTGAAGTGTTAACAGTGGTACTGAATCCCATGTTTGCATTGTACTGCTTAACGAGGCACACCATTCAAAAGGATGTAAGGTGTTCGAGAGGATAAGATCTCCTTGATCCAAAGCTCTCCATTTCTCATCAAACCTTTAAACTTTAAAATTTGCAGGATAGCATCGTGTTCCATAGTGTCAAACACTTTCTCAAAATCCACCAATGCCATATGCTGCCACATGGCATGATATTTGCCTTTTGACTTTATATTTCATTAGAAATTCAGCTCTGGCCAATCAGAGGACGACATGTGTCATATTCCTTTTCAGAAAAAAATCCTAAAACCTCTCAAATTTTGAAGAAAAAAAAATCAAATCAACCATAGCTTCAAATTTGATGAAACTTTTGGCATATTGTTCATCATGAAGCCTCGGATGCAGAGGCAAATGCATCGATGGACACAATACCTCGTCAGGAGAAGATATCACCGCGACACATCGATGACCGAACGTTACAAACCGATCACTGATCAAAGACATACATCCCCACAAAAAAAGGACTGGAGTATAAATTAATAAACTTCTCGTACTTATGATCGTCTCTAATTAATTAAGAGAACTGCTTGTTGGTGGCGAAGGTCTGGCCGAAGCCCCAGCCGGCGGGAGCGGCGTTGGGGAAGGTGAGCGTGTGGCCGTCGGTGCTGGTGACCTGGAACGAGAGGCTCTGGCCGGTGAGCAGCGCGTTGGACTGCCAGTTGACCCCCCAGTTCCTGGACATGGGCATCCACCCCGTCCTGGACCCCTTGATGGACACCGACCGGATGGACCCGACGCCGCCGACGTTGCTGACGAGCACGAGCTCGAAGTAGTCGTGGCCGTTGACGGTGAACCTGACGCCGCCCTTCTTGGCGCAGGGCACGCGCTGGTAGAGGACCGGCACGATGCCGCCGCGGTAGACGCCGATGTTGAGCCAGGCCGGCTCGGCCATGTCGAAGTGCTGCCGCGGCGGGTTGCACCACCCGCCATCGTCGTTGGGGAGCGCGTAGTTGGGCGGGCAGAGGTTGGTGGCCGTGATGGTCACCGACGCGCCGCGGATGCAGAACCGCGGGTCCGCCGCGTAGTCGCACCTGATCCGGTAGCACTGCCCGCAGGAGGCGCCGTCGTTGAACAGCGCCGTGCTCAGCGCCGCCGTGCTCGTGCCGTACCCCGTCGAGTACAGGTTCCCGTACCCGCATGCCCCACCTGCACGCATCGCATCATCAGCTTCTTTCTGTGTGTTCATCACGATCGAATGAAGTTGACTACTCCTGCGTACGTACCCATGGTTCCCGAGGCGTCGCTGCCGCCGTAGAAGGTGGCGAAGGCCCTGCTGACGCCGGACGCCGAGAAGCCGGAGGCCGTGCTCCAGAGCAGGCACGTCGCGACCGCGAACAGCCCAAGGAACCGGGCAGACGGTCCAGCAGCTGACGTCCCCATGTTACAGAGATCAATGAAGCTTGTGGTATCGCTAATGGCCGGACATGACAGGCAGATCTAGGAGTTTAAATAGCCATGCCTTGCACTGCACTGGGGCCGCCCTGGGGGATGGAAGCCCGGACGAGGCTCTGCTGGCGCGTTGCGAGGGGCCGTGCCCGTGCATGCATGTGGGCGTGCATGCACATATGCGGGTGGAGTGTGTGCTCTTTCGGGAGCTGAGGTGACGGGGACACGAGCTCGATCGGTGGCGGTGCTGGCGAGCGGCATTATTGGCCCAGGCCGACGCATGGAGGCTCGTGGGAGATTCTAACGGGAGAGCCCTGCCCATGTTCCCGGGTCAATAAACTGTTGGGCGCCTCTGACCTGTGTCGGGTCGAGGCTGGATGGGTGCATGCGGGATGCGGCGTTTAATTTGCATCTGTCGGCGCCACTCCCCTCGCGTAGATCCGGGCTTCGTGTATTCCCCTGTGCTGCACAGTCAAATTCGGCGCTTGTTTTGGCCGTGGGTACACAAGGGGAAAGTGCTTCCTTGGATTTTCATAGGGCCCTTTTTTTCCGGTGAGAAACAAAAAAGATCCCCAGGAATTAATATAGTCCGGGTTCACTGAGTTCAAGATCAAATCCAAAGAAATGATGGCGCTCTGTTTGGATGTCTGTATTGAAGGGCTCTGTATCGGCAAAGATCTAACATCTGGTGAAAAAACGTCCCCTTTCCCTCGTGTCGCTCCTGAAAGCGACCGAGGGGCCGCACCCGCCGCCGCTGGCTACTAGGCCTCCTCCCCCCTCCCCTCCCTGCCGCCGGGCAAAGCCCAATAGGTGCTGGCGACGGTGAGGTCCGTGAGGGAGTCCTGGATTAGGGGGTATTCGGACAGCCGGACTATATACTTTGGCTGGACTGTTGGACTATGAAGATACAAGATTGAAGACTTCGTCTCGTGTCCGGATGGGACTCTCCTTTGCGTGGAAGGCAAGCTTGGCGATTCGGATATGTAGATCTTCTTCTCTGTAACCGACTCTGTGTAACCCTAGCCCCCTCCGGTGTCTATATAAACCGGAGGGTTTAGTCCGTAGAACAACAACTATCATAATCATAGGCTAGCTTCTAGGGTTTAGCCTCTACGATCTCGTGGTAGATCAACTCTTGTAATACTCATATCATCAAGATCAATCAAGTAGAAAGTAGGATATTACCTCCATCAAGAGGGCCCGAACCTGGGTAAACAACATGTCCCCAGCCTCCTGTTACCATTAGCCTTAGAAGCACAGTTCGGGACTGATAGCATCTACTGGTGGAAATCTCACTCAAGTACAAGATTGGGTTCGGGTTACAAGCTCTCAGAGCCGAATAAGAAGGAAGTTGGGAAAGAGGGGAAAAGAGAGCCACCGCCGCCAGTTCTGATCCATCTATGGATGAACCCTAGCGGAGCCCTTGCTGCGCCTTAAGTAGTCTTCTGCCTGTTGGTGGTTGGGCCGCTAACCCAGTCAGGGCCTGTTACTCGGGTATTGGGCCTCCAGTTACGGACGGGCCGGCTTTGTACCCCTTCCTGGCCCTCACCACTCTGCTCTTGCAGGCCTGTAGCTGGAGTGTTGCTGACAATCCCCTCTCCTTGAAAAATGGCTTGTCCCCAAGCCGGTGCATCAGGGAATCACTGTCGAAGGCGGTCGAGATCTTCCCACTCGGTTTTGTCTTCGGTAGAGTGCGACCAGTGCACGAGACCTTGCTTGATAGGCCCGCGCCCGGACTACTTGTCACGAAGGCGGAGGACGCGCAGCGGTACCCAAGCTGGGGCACGCGGAAAGCGCCGGTGCAGATCCTCCAAGTCCTCCCAGGTGGTGTCGTCGGCCTGCGCCCCGGTCCAACGAATCTCGTCTTGGCGGACCATCTTGTTGGCCTTCTTGCGCCAGCGGTATTGAAGGACCTCCAGAGGAACCTGAAAAGCCATCGCGTCAGAAGGAAGGGCTGTCGGTTGCTGTTCCGGTCGGAGATGGGACACACGGAACACGGGGTGAACCAAAGAGCCTTCAGGTAGCTGGAGACGATATGCCACTGCTCCAATTTTGGCCAGCACGGTGTAGGGGCCGAAGAATTTAAATGCGAGCTTGTGACATGCTCGTTGAGCCACCGAAGTTTGTACATATGGCTATAGTTTCAAGAACACTCGGTCTCCAGGTTGAAAGACACGGTCCGACCACTTCTTGTCCGCTTGGTCTTTCATCCGATGTTGTGCCCGATGCAGGTGTTGCTTGACCAGGTCGAGCATCAGTTGGCGCTCTCTAGCCAGGCCCGGACGTCCAAAGGCTGGCAGTTGTCAGTAGAGACCAGGCCAAGTGAGTGTGGCTCCCTACCATACAGAACAGCAAACGGCGACTTGCCCAGACTGGAGTGTGTACTCGTGTTGTACCAAAATTCCGCGAGGGACAACCATTTGCACCATTGTTTCGGGGCTGCCTGGGAGTAGCAGCGTAGGAAGGTCTCGAGGCACTGGTTGACCCTTTCGGTCTGGCCATCCGTCTGCGGATGTCTTGCTATACTTAAGAAAAGTTCATTGCCCGTGATCTTGAATAGGTGCTGCCGAAACTTACTCGTGAAAAGAGGATCCCGGTCGGATATGATGTACTTTGGCATTTCGTGATGCTTGTAGACATGGTCCATAAACTGTTGTGCCACTGTCTGAGCGGTGAAGGGGTGAATCAGGGGCACAAAGTGGGCATACATGGTCAGCTTGTCCACCACCACCATGATGCAATTGTGACGCCCTGATGTAGGAAGTCCAATAAAATCCATGGTGGTCATCTCCCATGGTTCGCCTGGAATGGGAATTGGTTGGAGCAGCCCCGGGTACTTCACTCTATCTGGCTTCGCCTGCTGGCATATGGTACATGTGCGCACATATTCCCTGATGGAACGACGAATTCCCGGCCAAGAAAAATGCTGCTTGATTCGGGCCAAGGTAACAGGGAATCCCGAGTGTCCTCCCGTCGCAGAATCATGCAGGGCTGAGATAATTTTGTGCTGCAGCTCGGTGTTGTGCCCCAGCCAAACTTTTCCTTTGTGGTGCAATACTCCTTGGTGCAAAGAGAAAAATCCTTGCTGCTCCCCAGCTGCCAAACTTGTAACTAACTTCTGACACTGAGGGTCGGTGGCGTAGCCTTTTTGCAGTTCCTCGAGCCAAGATGCCTTACATTCAGTCAGAGCCGCAGCCTCTTCCCAGGTTTCATGAGCCCGCCTAGATAGTGCGTCTGCTGCTTTGTTATCTTCTCCCTTTTTGTACATATTCTATACTGAAGACCCAACAACTTAGTAAAGGCCTTGTGCTGCCAGACAGTGGTGAGACGCTGCTCCTCCAGGTGTATCAGGCTCTTCTGGTCCGTTCGGATCTCAAACTCAGCCACTTGCAAGTATGAGCGCCACTGATCTACCGCATGCAGTATGGCCATGCACTCTTTTTCATAGGTAGAGAGGCCAGCTGACTTGGGGCCCAAGGCCTTGCTGAGGAAGGCAATTGGGTGCCCATCCTGCTGCAGCATTGCCCCAATGCCCTTGTCACAGGCATCAGTCTCCACCACAAAGACCTTCTCGAAGTTGGGCAGGGCTAGGACTGGCGCTGTGATAAGTGCCTGCTTGAGAGTTTCAAAGGCCTCTTGGGTTTCGGCTGTCTAGATAAACACGGTCCCCTTGCGGAGCAGCTGGGTCAAGGGTCGACAAATCATTCCAAAGTGGCGGACAAACTTACGGTAGTATCCGGCGAGGCCGAGAAATCCTCGCAGTTCCTTGACAGAGACTGGGGTTGTCCACGAACGAACTGCTTCAATTTTATCTTGTTCAGTCGCCACCCCCTCAGCACTAATGCGGTAGCCCAGATACGAGATTTGCTGCTGTGCAAAGGAGCACTTGGACTCCTTCACCTGCCATTGATCCTTGCGAAGTAATCCCAAAACTTGCTCGAGGTGCTTCAAGTGATCTGCCCACGTCTTGCTGAACACCAAAATATCGTCAAAGAAGACCAGAACAAACTCTCGCAGGCCCGGGGACAGAGTGACATTCATCGCTCCTTGGAAGGTGTATGGTGCATATGCTAGCCCATACGACATGACTTTATACTCGTAGTGCCCACTGTGAGTCCGGAACGCTGTTTTTGGTGCCTCTCCTTCGGCCAGCCTGATTTGGTGGTAGCCCGCTCGAAGATCGAGTTTGGAAAACCAGCAGGCCCCGGCTAACTCGTCAAGGAGCTCGTCGATCACTGGTAAGGGATATTTGGTCTTGCAAGTTATCGCATTGAGTCGACGGTAGTCCACACACAATCGCCATGTAAGATCCTTCTTTCTGACCAACACAACTGGGGATGAAAAGGGACTATGACTCAGCTGGATGATTCCTTGCTTCAGGAGCTCTGCCACTTGCTCCTCAATTTCTGTTTTGAGTGCTGGAGGGTACCGATACGGTCGAACAGAGAATGGTTGTGCCCCTGGTATCAGGGGAATGCGGTGATCGCAAGCTCGGGCTGGCGGCACGCCCCGGGGTTCAGCAAACACATCCCTGTACTTATCGAGCAAATCCTTAACTGGAGGTGGCAGCATCTTTTGCTCGGTCGGCTCCAATTGATACAGCTGCATGATTAAGAGGCAGGCATTGTCCTTACACAAAGCTTGGAGCTGCATTGACTAAATCAGCGCACACTAGGGGCCATTGTTGGGAAGCCCCTGTAATCTGACTGTGCTCCCTTGTTGCTTGAACTCTATGTATCGCTTCACCCAGTCCACTTGCATCGGGCTGTGACTCTCCAACCAGTCCATGCCAAGGATGATATCATAGCTCCCCAATGGCAGCACCTTCAGATTGTTATAGAATTGCTGACCTTGAGTCCACCATGCACAGTTAACCACTTCATGAGTGCACATCAACTCACCCCCATCTGCTACCTTAACTCTGAGATGCTGCGCCAATGGTGTGGCCTTGAGTTCTCCCTGGATCAGGTCTTGCTTGATAAAATAAGAAGAAC